TGCGTTTTAAAGCATGTGTTACCTGAAACTGAAGTTAGCTAGTCATTCAATCCTGCAACCTGTGGGTTTGCAAAACGATGGCAGGAATCCTGCTGTGAGGGAGATAGGAAAATTATTATAATCTGCATTTCTAAATTGAATGAGTATTTTGCTCAGCAGAGGCCTCTTGACTGTAAATAGTCTGAAATTACATCCTGCTGTTTAAAATGCCTTTTTTTCCAAGTAAGTAAAAATGCCCACATTTTCTTAAATCAAATATTTTTTAAATCTTAGATGAATTAAATTATCGAGAGTGGAAGAGTCATAAATCCTTTTCTACGTCTTGTAAAAACTGTTTGATATTCACATTTATAAAATAAGGGAAAAAGGTCTAGAATTTATGGCTTTATGTTTTAATAATTTAATTATTATATTTTTAAAGCTTATCATCATGTCTCTCCCATCATTTTTTTACTGAAAAAAAATCCATGTTTACAAGATTTTTAATTTGTACAGGGGAAAATTGTATGAATCAGCTAATAGATGTGATGTCTAACTTACCATTAAGGTAAATTCATATTGAAAGTTTCCTGAAAAGACTACAAAAGAGAGCAAAAGCCCATGGGTTTACAAGAAGGCAGAGGATATAAACTTCTGCCACAAGAATAGCATGGTAAACATAACTTCATTCATGTGAGTTCTTTATCTCATTAAAGCTAGAAATGACACAAGAAAAAAAAAAAAAAAAGAAAAAAGCCCTGGGGATAAGGATTAGAGGCCTCTGTAGTTGTTTGAGCAATGGTTTTCTACTGTGTGAAAGCAATACCTACTGTAAATACTTTTCATTACGTCCTCTCTAAGAGTTCAGAATGGGAGAGGAGGTGTCTCATCTTATCCTCCTGAAATTCTCAGTCCTTTAAATGGCAACCTGTGAAAACATTTATAGTAAAAGTTGTCTGTGCTCCCACTGGAACTTTGCAACACTTGGCAGTGTGTGTGTTTCTAAGTTGAACAAACCAGGACAAATTCTCTTGCCCAGAGTGTGGATGACTCTGTCTCTCTACCCCAAAGATGTTGTCTGTATTCTTAGCTGCTTCTTGGAAACTGTTCCTTCCCTACCTGCTTCCTGAAACTGATATCAATTGAAATCAATACTGTGCATTGAATGGGACTTGGGGCAAAACCAAGGCAATACAGGAATAGATGGGATGGATAAGCAGGATCCAGGAATCAAACTGGTGCCTAAGCCTTGTTTTGCTGTTATAGATAGATGTTTGTGGCTTTATGTATTCTGATAAGAAGTAGTGGTTGAGAGGAAGATGAGGTCACTCTCATGTGAAAGGTGGTTCTCAGGAGGACCAACGAGACAGGCAGAGATGATGACAAGGGTATAGACATATCTTAAACACAACCTGTTTTTCTGAAGCTTAAGGGACCTTATGCTGAGTTTCAGTCTTGTTGCTTTAGATTAGGATTCACAGCTCTGACCTACTTCTGAAATGGTGGACAGACCACTTCTGGGGTATTTTTGCCACAAAATACATTTGACAGAAGACATTTTTGTTTCCACACATTAATTCAACCTCCTAGGACGTGGAAGGGCAGAATTCAGTCTTTCCTGTGTCAGAGGACTCTCCTCCCAACCTCTGGGAGGAAGTTGTAGCCTCCAGGATATAGTCTGTATGTTGTAGGCTTAGCACAAAATCTCCAGGATCAGTTTTATATCTCAGGTTATGCCAAATGTTCCCAGTTCACAATCCTTTTTTGTTCTTAATTTTTCCCCCTTTATTAAATGCACAATGTAGGTACTCAATTCAGTATAACCATCATTTATTCACTTACATCAGGGTAATTTCTTACCTTTGTTACTTAAACTGCTGCAGGCTTTGGGTTTAAATCTATCTGCACATGTTTGATCAAATTCAGCCAGTAACAAAAATTAACCATGGAAAATTTGGACAGGTGGAGCTCCACTGGTTTTGCAGCCAGTCAGATAATTTAGCTTACTCATTTTGATTTGCACTGTTTAAATGAACATGTCTATTACCTGTCAAAGACAGTTTGTTCTCCAATCTATCAAACAACGTTTGTAACATTTTTTGTAGCATTAACCATGAAATCCACAAAAATGAAAAATAAAGCAAGATTTTTTACACCATTTTACATCCAAATTTATATATTGGTATTAATGAATGCATGCTTTATTAGCAATACTGTAAGAAAAGTGAAAGATGTGGAGGATACTTAACCTCATGAAGTACAAGTCCAAGAGCAAATTTTACATAAACTGGGGCAATTCTGGAGAGTACTAGGAGACAAACTCATTGAGACCATCCTTGTGGGGAAGGATTTGGGGGTTCTCATGGAGGAAAAACTGGACATGAGCCAACAGTGTGCTCTTACTGCCCAAAAGGCCAAACACATCCTGGAATGCTTCGAAAGAGAAATGTCCAGCAGGTAAAGGGAGGTGGCTCTCCTCATCTCTCGTGAGGCCCCACCTGAGTGCTGCATCCAGGTCCAGAGTCCTCAGCACAAGAATGATATGGACTTGTTGGAGTAGGTCCAGAGGAGAGCCACAAAGGCGATTAGAGGGATGGAGCACTTCCCCCATGAAGATAGACTAAGAGAACTCATCATTTTCAGCCTGGAGAAGAGAAGGCTTCTGAAAGACCTTATAGAAGCCTTCCAGTATCTTAAGAGGGTTTATAAAAAGGAGGAAGATGGACATTTTATATTGGCAAATATACAAGGAGAGGACAAAGGGGAATGGATCTAATGTGAAAGAGGGTAGGTTTTGATTAGATGTTGGGAAGAAATCTTTTTTTCAGAGAGTGGGGGGGTAGTGGCAGAGGTTGCCCAGAGAAGTTGTGGATGCCCTGGCAATGTTTAAGGCCAGGCTGGATGAGGCTTTGGCAACCTGGTTTAGTGGAAGATGTCCCTGCCATGGCAGCAGGGTGTAACTAGATGATCTATAAGATCCCTTCTAACCTAAACCATTCTACAATCCAATCTTCCAGAATTATCTATCCTAAAATGGCAAGGTTTTATCAATAGCTATGCTGAGATAGCCAAACCCATAATCCTATCCTTTATGTTTATTTATCAGTGCACACACAGACATATTACACAAACCTCCCAAGTACAAACATACACTCAGTGCCAGAGGATTACAACACGTTTGACATTTTAACTCTGCAACTGAGATATTCATCTACCTCACAGGTATAAAACTATATAGGTATAAAACTATAACATCCACACTCAGAGGTATAAAAGATGTAATATTATCTAAAAAGTCCACATATTAAAGCTACAACATACGCTTTTATATGAATTTTACTTTCTTGGAAAATATTTAGGTATCACATTGAGGGCACTTCACAGAACTAACACAGCTCTCCTCCACACAGAAAACTTTGCACAATCTTGCAACTCCTCTAACCTTCTGCTTTTAAATGGAGTGTGTATTTTTATACTCATGTCCTTGTTCCTACTGAAGTCTATTACAAAGATTCTCTGTAACTTCAATAGAACTTAGATAAAATAAAACTCCATTCATTTTTTTATTTGTTTGTTTTGGATTTTTTTCTCCTCCTATCTGGAGTAGATATTTGGTGCCAATGGGCAAACAATTCTTTTTGATGAGGGATGATATTTTTATCTTTTTTTTTTATTTATTTTATTCAGGGAGTTGGTGTTTAGAATATAAATTCAAATGCTAGCTAGAGTAGCAGACAGAAGACGATTGATTAGAAAGCTGTTATTCAGATGATGGCACTAGAATCCCTCCATAAAAAAGAAAAAGCAGAACAGAGTTCTTATACTTCTAATTACATCAAATCTGAGCTCCATCTACTTTAGCCAATAGGTTTCCTGAAATTATTTTAACAGATTTTAATAGATTTAATAGGCGATGCTTAATAAGAAAATGTAGTATTTGTAAAACTAGCTATTTTTTTTAAAATGTCCATATGAAATAAGATGAAGTTGACAGAATGAAACTGAAAATAACCTTTCCCCCTCTTCCCCCAAACCCAGATAGAGCCTTAATCCTGAAAAATACTCTGCAGAAGATGAAAAACAGATGGCAATCATAGAATAAAATCAAGGTTACATGATTGTTCACTTTTCTTCTCTCCTGCTCATAGCATTATCCACATCATTATAAACATAGTGTTTTTTTATAATGTTATGATTAGTGCTGAAAATCCTGATGTATCTTTATGATCTTGCTACTTTCCTTGTCAGTTAAGTGTCTGAGACATGACTTGATGAGCACATATGCCCACACACATTCTACCACCTTTCTGAGCATATATCTGCTTACAAAATTATTTTTTCTATGCTTTCAATCATACCATAAAAAAAATTATGTCAATGAAATATTCTGGTCAAGGTTGATCTCCTGAAGTGGCAAAGTAGTGTCAGAATAATATCAGCAGATTATATATAATATTTTAAGAGAAACCGAAGTGTAGAAAAAGCAATTTATCAAAATATCAGTTTCCAGAAAATTAATAGCTGCCATTAAGAAGAAATTATTTTTTTCCAACATGCTATGAATGTCTTTGTCATTCTCCTTAAGCCTACACGCCATCTAGAACAATCAAGCACACATTTGAACAAACACTCTGATCCCCACTGACTCTAAACAAAAACCATCTCATGAACAAAGTAGAATACTGTCCCCTTTTTTCCAGTTGTAAATCAACTGGAAAAGAGTGAGAGTGATTGAAATGCACTAAACACAACTATAGAATGGCAGTCAAATTCAGAGCATGGGTAGAGCATTCTCTTGGTGGCCAGCTAGTAATTTAGTAGGTTTTAGGTTGCCCGAGCTCACTAAGCACATTTATTACGAGGCAGTTGAAAGCATGATCTCAGCTATATATATATGCTGTGTTAATCACCATTTTATTCATCTGTGTCCCTGTTCAAGCAACAAATTGAAACATAGTCCCTGGTGCTAAAGATTAAATGAAACAGTCCTGAAACCTGAAGCTTTTAAGGAAGCCACTAACCTTTGTGTCCTTAGGCACATCCAGAAAGTCCAGTACATCTACATTTGATGAAGAACATTCCAGAAGGATTTAACTCATCTGTTCCAGTGTTCAGTCCCAAGAAGACTTTAGTGGTCACTGAAAAGACCATTCAGGGAATAAAGCAACTCCAGGTATGCAGATGGAAAGATCAGACATCTCTGCTGCAATGGTGTACACCTCACTGTGCCTGCACAAAAAGAGAAAACACTTGCTGCATATTTAAAAAAAAAACAAAACAACCCAACAAGCCAAACCAAAGAACTGAAAGAACCCAAAACCTCAGTTTCCCTGTATAAGAATGAAAAGAAATATTTTGCAGTAGGGCCCCAGAGGTAGTACATGTCAGCTCATGTTTCTGGAAGTAGTGTGTCAGTATCTTGTAAACATTGGCAGTCTGGAATCTGGAGCACAGGTTAGAGAGTAAGGGGAAGGGGGAAGGAAAATTACAACAAATGCATTTCACAGTACTAAGCCCCAAACAAAAGTCATTCCTAATGACAGAAAATGGCTAATTACACTTATTTTAAGTGGGCTACAGGAAAAAGAATGTTAGATATTTACTGGAAAGAGGTAATATATTGCACATGCTGCTGCTACTCTGCTACATTTCACCCTTGACATTGGCCAGAAATATATTTTACAGCCATTTTGTAAATCACAGGAAAAACTACTTTTATACTTAGAACAATTGCCAGACACATCTGGAGAAAATGGTAACAACATTTGGTGAGAATTGTTTAGCTGATCTTATCTTTTTCCTATTTTCTGTGGGTTTTTAAGGCTTTTTTTTTTAATAATCTGACTATGCCTCCATATTGAAGAAGTGGGTCAAAGAGACAAACGTGAATATGGTATTTAATTGCAAACCCCGTACTACAATTTCTAGCTCCAGGCATGAACATATCTACTTTCATTCAAAGTAAATCAAGTCTCAAGGAATTTGGAATACAGTTAAGCCCTCAAAGTCATCAATGCCAATGTGACCTGCCAAAAGACATTAACTGTGTAATTCTTCTGTTAGCTGGGAAAAAATATTTGGGAGTGGAGGAGCAACATTAAATCAAAAGGTTTCTACAAAAATATTGCAAAGAATGACCAGTTTGAACACCTTTGCTGTATGGCTGGAGCCTAAAAAAGTATAGATGTCTTTGCACACTTGAAACTAAATTTTGCACAACTGAAAGAACATAGAAATGTACAAGAATCTTGTAAAAGTCTAGGAGAGTAGCAGCCATCTTTTCTTTGCAATGAAGTGTTTATTTCAACACATAATTTCCATCTACATTACATAAACCACTTACTTGGCTCAAGAGCAGTTTACTTCTGACTGCTGTTGCCTGTAGGATACATGATTTGCAATGCTGAGTATTTTGTTTTTCCATCACAAACATTTATTCATTAATAATTTATCAGATAAACGGCTTCTGATTGAGCAATTTAAAAAATGTAGACAAATCAATGGCAAAAGACACCAAGCATCATATTATAATGATACAATAATTTGAGCTCATACATTAGACTGAATTGATAGTGTCCCAAAAGCCCTCTTTCGATAGCTCAGTTTCAGAGAGTAAATGTTCAGCTGAAATAACTAATAAAACATCTCAACTACTGCTCTGAGAAATCATGCCAGTATCATGTACAGTATCTTTGAGAGCTAATAAGTTGGCTCTGGAAAGCAAACAAGCACACAAACCCTAGAAAACGCCTCTGTGAACCTACAAGCTCTCCCTGGGGGGAGATTAATAGCCACATGGAGAAGACAATGAACTTGTCTCTTAGTCGTGTGAATGAGACTTTGAAAATCATAACGGTCTGATTCTTTGATGGCAGTGATACTTAGAGATATAGATTGTAGCATTAGATCCAAACAGTGTTTGTCATCACTTATATGTGCAACACAGACCATGAGGGAAGAAAATGTGATAAATCCCTTAAGAGGGAGCTCTTGAGGGCTCCTAATTTATCATGAATAAGTCCTGCTCTGAGTTACAGGATTTTCAGCTGAGTCGTTCACAAGGAAAGTAAAATGCATTCTAAGGGCTGTGCCATGGCCATCATCAACCACCTTCGAGGTTTCAGAAAAAAGAAGGGAGATTTGAAAGCACTCTTGGAGAAAAGCTGCATATAAATATTTTCCCTATTTCCTAATTAATCCTGAATTAAATGACTTAATATTTTCCAGGGCAGTAGTTAAGCTCCCTAAGAATAAAGTTGTTAAAAGTCCTACTGTTTGACGGGCATTCTGTATTTGCAGAAAGGACTGGTTTTCCATCAGGTTTAGGGACACTGGTCAATAATACGTTGACAGTGTGTAGACTTATTTACAAAATGGATACTGTTCAGTTTAAATGAACACATTTGTTCTACAAAGAATAGATTGTTTTCAAACTTAGATGGAATCTATCTTCTATTATTTGATGAAAATTCATTAATTATATACAATAAGTTTCAGAAATGACAGATGTACCAATAAAAGCCATAATTCAATGTGGAATATATGTGAACATCAATATATGTAATTATATATACATGATCACAAATATCATCAATTTATTTATTGTAAACAGTGCAAACAAATACATATGAAGTGAAAAATCAAATTAAATGGAGCAACATAACAATTTTTTTCTGATTTGATTTCTAATTTAACTGTTTGTGACTGTGCTAATAAGAACACTAGAGCATCTTGTTTAGTGACTATACATTTTCAGTATGTGTTTATCCACTCTACCTAAGACTACAGTCTTTTTTTCCCACCAAAAAGTAAGAGTTGCTGAAGATATGCTTGCTTATTTTAAATAATGGACTTGAGTTGGTTTACAGGTTTCCTTTTCTGAATCTGTTAGCTTCAGGGGGTTTTTGTGAAGCTCAAGAACAAGAAAGCACCCTGCAAGAAATATTATAAAAACAGATAACAAGACAAGAATCTCCTGTTCTTGTAAAGACAGAGTTTCGAAATGAATTTTCAATTCTTTCGTTTTGTTTTTTTTTTAATGATTTCTTTTCCTAGTTTTCTAGTTGTCTAGAAAACAACGAACAGTTAAACACTTGGACGTCATAAGTGACCTTCTCTTTATACACATGAAAGTTACACTTCCTCAAATAATACACAAAATCTGGTCATGTGCCCACACCATGTCCATTTCCATGAAAAATAAAATGAGTTTGATTAAACTAAGAGAGATGAATCATACTTAACACTTCTACAAAGTTAGACAGAAGGCATTAGCTCTCAAAGTGTAAAGGCTACTCTGGAAGGTTCCAATCACCATCAGATTTTGTTACCTACAAAAATAATGAATTTGCAATAATGTCATGAAAATAGATACAGAGAGCCATAATTGTGTTACTGGGGACAAAGAAAAAGAAAATAAAAACAATTATCAGTCACTTACACATATTTTCATTTTCAGGCTTCCCCTGACTTCCCTCTGCTCCATAAAAATAATTTCCAGAAAACTCCCAAATTTCTGAGCCTATGGCATCTGTCCAACCCTGCTAATCAGACTGGTCCAACTTCTAGGAAGCCAGAGCTTCCAGTGTTTGTGTCTCTGGGATAAATCTTTCTGACAGACAGCCCTGGGGCAGTAGCACAGGGAAACCCTTCAGAACAGTCCTTCAGAGATGATCACACATAGTCCAGGAGCTCTTGATGGAATCTGGGAAGAATTTCTACATATTGCTTTTTCCACCTGGTGCATAAATATGAAGCATACTTACCCTCAGGGAAACAACCCTACATTCTTGCAAATTTTGACATGCCACATATTACCTTTTCAGCTGTTATTCAAAATGTTTTGAAGATGTCTGAAGCCATGGCAAGTCGCAATGGCCACCACATCACTGTGTTCGTCATCAGTTTTTCAGTTCCAAACTAGTTCCAGTTTTGGTTGCATGATAGAATGAATTTCAAGCAGCTCAATGATTTGCCACTGAAAAGCTGAATACTAGCAACTTGCATTTTAAAAAAGATATATTTTTTCTTTTGAACCCAAATTTCAGTGTGAAAAAATATGGCTGGGAATATTTACATCAAGGTAATAAAAGTTGGTAAACATAGTGTGTCCACATTTCAAAATAGCACAAATCTCCTCTTTTTCCTCTATTTAACTGTCAGGCAAAAGGTGAGATCAGCATTCCACACTAGTAATGTGTTACTATGGTGTAAACCTAGTGCAGTGAGTTTACACTAAGAAATTTATAACAAGTCAAAAAAATTATCAGAATAAAATTACATTAAAAAAAATGTGTGAAATGTGCAGTAAATCTCTTGAGGCGGTAGTCTTAAATAACAAGGCTGTGTTGTAATGAATATTTAATAAGAAAAACAAGAATAAAATAATCATGAACAAATATTCTCAAAGTACCTTAGAACTAGAGTATAGCCCACAAAATGTCATTTATACCTGAGTACTGTTCTAAGTAACACAAAAGGACATACGTTTTCTTATAACCACCATATTTCACTTTATGTGAGTGCTTGTGCATGAGCTCTGCAACAATTATTCAGTACAAATCGCTACCTGTGACAAGAGTAGCTGCTTTACTGATGTAAATCCAGCACATTAGCACAACTGTACAGACAGCTACAGCAGCAAAAACTCTGTCTCATGATCTACAGAAATAGGTCAGCTTTATGAGGAAATCACTTGTTCTTGGAGGAAATAAAGAATGAACTTCCACTTGGGGAGAGATCCCTTTGAAGACACGAGGCTAATGTGAATTTTCTTAGCAGAAAACCTGTTTTCTCTGAGAGTGAGGAAAAGGAAGAGCCAGTGGCCCAGCATCCCTGTCTGGGTGCGGAGAGATGCCTTTCATCACACTTACATGAGGCACAGTGCACAAGGGTACAAGGAGAGGATGGAGCTGTGACAGCACTCACATCACAGCCCTGGCAGCAGGGGTATACCGTGCTCACTGGCAAGGGAAGGCTACAACACATAGTGACCCTCAACAGCTTTGTGTGACAGTGAGAAAATGACAAGGGCCAGTGGGACTCACACATGCTCATCAGCACATTGCAAACTGACAGCCCTGTCCAAAGATTTCATGGATGCGGGTAAGGTACTCATATCTAAAAAGAAGACATTTGTTATGAATTTATGTCTCGTAATATATGTATTTTTATGTTCTAATATATTTAAATACATGTATTCCAATTATTTTTGGGCAAATGGAAGTGGG